ATCCCAGCCATCTATGCTTGCGTGAAGAAATTCCCTTCCAGTTCCCAATGATTCCAGTTTTGCTAGGACTCCTTGATGCCATCACTCACTCAAATGTCTTGACCTCACGTCTGGAGTTCAGCATCTTTGTTGACCTCTGATCCAAGGCTGCAATGAGGTCAGGAGCTGAATGACACTGGCGGAACCCAAATTGAGCTCAATGAACAGGTCATTAATAAGCAAGTGTTGACCACTTTCATTACTTAACTGATGATTTCGAGTAGATTGATGGTGTAGTAGATAACCAGCTTGGATTTGTACTGCTTCATGTGTATAGGACATACTGGGGCAATTTTACACATTGTCAGGTAGGTGTTATTGTTGCAGCTGTACTGGAACAGCTTGGACAGAGGGAAAATAAAACTTCCATAAAGAATGGAAATGCTCTGCTTGAATGTTTGACTGGTTTCATCATCAAATTATTGGAAACCATTCATACATAAAGCATCACCAGATTGTTAACAAAATGCAGAGTATCCAATACAATTGATGGAAAGAAAAATGATTTGTTATGGAGGGATTGTTTCAAAACTGGATACCTACTCACACCAATGATAAAGTCCTGACTTAACATTCGTGCAACACTAAGATTGTCTATTTGTCTGTTTCCAAATGTTGCCCAAATACCCTCTGACTCAGTACATTTGCTGCTGAAACCCTCATCCATTCATGGTTAGATCTAGACTTGACTATTCCAAAGCACTCCTGGTTCATCTCTCATGTTCTATCTCTGTGTACTCTGGATCATCCAAAATATTGCCGTTTGTGTCTTTTGCAGTAAGCCCCAATCCTCAACCTGGTCAAGAATGTCTTTAATTTGAGGTATCAATTCTGAACTTCAAATCACTCCATTGTGATTTGCTCTGCCCATCTCTTAACCTTCACCAATTAACAATACTCCTGAGAATTACACTCCTCTAAATTCTGGCTTCTTGTGGATTTTACCATTGATGGCTGTACTCAGTAAGTCAAGGAAACTCTCTCCCTGAATGTCTTTTTATCTCATTTTAAAGAACACCTAGAGGATGAAAATGTCTCTCTTGAACCAAGCTTTTAACATCTCCTTGTGTGGCTTAGTGCCATACTGTGTTTTATAATGCTCTTGTGAAGGACCTTGGGACATTTCATTACAATAAAGGTGCTATGCAAACATATGTTGCATTGTTGTTAAGGTAACATCAAGGCAGCTCTCAAGTGAATGAAGTATAAAGAAACTCTACCTAAATTGAAGTCAATGGGAATCAGAGGAAAACTTTCCGATTGCTAGAATCGTAACTGTCATTGAGGATGGTGGCTGGGGACAGTGAAGATTTATCATCTCTACCCAGAATATAGTTGCAGGGGTTGCATAGGTTAGTGCCTTAGCCAAACTTCTTTACCCATTTCATTGCTGAACTTCTCTCCATCATAAAGTGAGAAGTGAGGCTATGAGCTGACAATTCAAAGACGATCACCATCTCGTACATTGGCTTAAACATCCAGGCCCTCTAGTACTGCAGTGCAGTGGCTCAGAATACATTACCACCAGCATGTGCTCACCTACTTGTGGAAACATCTGTGGCAGCACCTTCCGAACCTGCGATCTGCACCACAGAAGGGCAGCAAGAGTCCGAATGGTACATCAATGCAATGTCCTAATCCTGACTACTCGTGGGACACTTTTTTTTTTAAAAACAGTCTGAACAACAACCATAAACCTAATTGTCTGCTGCCAATTTCTTAACCATGCAGCTATTGTCCTTTTAATCTAATGTGTTTCAACTTTGTTGGTCTGCAAGATTTACAGTATTTCATCAAATGCCTTGAGATTCTACAGATACTTTATCAACTATACAATGACATTAAGCATTTCATAACTATTGTGATTAAAGAGGTGGACAAAGAAGTTTTATTCTAGCCTGTTGTTACTAATAACTCAAAACAATTATTTAAGCTCTTAGTCTAAGCATGTTAGTTCTTATAAATGGGAAGGCCATATTTACAGACAAATCTTTCCGACCATTGGGATCAACTGTCTCAACACTGGGCTATAAATGAATTGATGGAATAAGTATCCCATGTAACAGGTCCTGAACTCATGTGGGAAAGGGAGGGGTGCTGGAAATCACAAGGCAATTCTACCTGGGAAACTTCAACACCTGCTGTCAATTCCACTGCCACTTATCAGACAGGAAATTTAGGGCCCCTGTGGAGCAGTGGTGTGCCCCTACCCACGGAGTGGGAGATCCAGGTTCAAGTACCACCTGCTCCAGAGATATGTAATAACATCTCTGAATAGGTTATTAGAAAAACTGGTCAAACAGGAAATTAATTCAGTTTATATAAAACTAGCCAGATACTCCGCAAAACCAAAATTATATATTATCAACAGCTCCTATTCTGGGACCAATTGTGTTCTCATTACAGTACAAGGTCTGCATTGACAAACAGAATTAAATAAAGTCAATTATTGCTTTGCTACTTGTGAAGTGAAATACAAATTACAAACAAGCAAGGTCAGAGACGTTTACTGGGAACACATGCATCCTTCCAATTCTGTGAATTATTGGTTAAGAGTGAATGATTAGTCAAGTTACTTTGGAGACAAAGGCAAATGGAGGTTGACACATGGAGTGGCAGTGATCCAATGGACAAAGCATGCAATTCAACCAGTCAATTTTTCCTGGACACAGCTAATTAACCCAGTTTGTAGTGAAGAGTTTTAACTGTTCTCATTTATCAAGGAAGAAGCAAAGTAAGCAAGAGATAGCATGAGGAACTACTTGCCAACTATCAAAAGCTGCTCTCCCTCACCCATTTCTAGAAACGTTGTCTTTTTTAGAAATGTAAAATAATAGAATAGAATTATACTTTTCAAATTTGCATTTCTTCCATACAGGTTTGCTGTCAAGCTCTACTCCTCAGGTGAGAGGATTATTAGCAATATTAATCCATGATCCCCTGATAACAAATATAATTATTTTAATCACTAAATCTAAACTTTTCTCAAGCAAAAACTTTTCTTTCTCCACCTTCGATGGGAAGCTTTGCCATGAATTATTGTCCTATAGCAATGGAGTCACTTTTAGCAAAATTCTGACAGGTGGGGATTTGAAATTCATTAACCACAGGCTGTTAATGCTGAAATACCGGATGCATTATTTTACATCACAAGTCATGGGAGATTAGTCATCGAGTATAAAAAGCTTCCACTTTTAATTTTGTCTTGTGTAATTTAACAACTGGTTGATTATCACCTTTCTTCCCCGCTGAAATACCTCAGTGCTTAAAATGCGAAAAGAAATTTTGGCTTTAGCTGTAACATGATACACATTCCAGCTAAAGCCAACTAACTATTATTTCAAAGCAAATCCATCTTAATTTCCAAGGCAAGTTTTCCTTTTCCACTTGCCAGCTGTATCGGTCTAAATTTTACCGTCTCAGTATTTAACTTTAAAGGCAAAAACAGTAAAATCAATATACTCTTTAGTCAGAGGAAATGTTTGCACATATTTCAGGTGGATTCAGAGCCAAGACAGTTTGAGAGAATGACAAGTAATATACCAAGAAATATAAGAGAATCAAAGTTAGCACATGGCCATGTGGAAATACAACAGCTCAGTTCTATATACATCCTTAAGATTGATATAACAAACGGTAAAACTGCCTTGGCTGTGTGTGATTAAAAAACATCCTTTTACACAGGCTACTTATGTGCCCGAGAAAAGAAGTTTTGTTAATGCAGGCATAATTGTATAATGCATGAGAATGTGATGTTAAATACATTAAAATGTGGAGGCATGAACAGGAGGTTATCTCACATATTTGGTGTAATCCATATAGTAGAACAAGTCATAGTTAAGCTTTTAGAATGTAGGCCCAGCACAAACAATCTGCTCTGTTCAAGAAAATCAAACAGCTACACTTTCTAAAATGCTCCAGCGGCTTACATATACATTAAAATATTACATTCACTGTAAAAGATGACAATAAAGTTTCCTTTGTACTAGGTAAATGCCCCTATATTAATCATTCAATGCAAGTGCACTGGACATTAAAGTTGCAGTTGCTTTTGCAGTGTTTAGATATTAACAAGGTTTTTTGACCTTGCTTTTGTGAAGGTGAACACCAGTTTAATGTATTGAGTATGACCATGGTAAATATCAGTCGTGCATTTTGGTATTCCAGTGCACTGAAGTGAACTGCATCACATATTCAGAATATCCATTCATTTATTCTTCACAGTGCTTTAATGTGACATCTCCCATAATATGTGAGAGAGGTGTTAATTTCAGTCATTGGTGTTCCCAATTATTTCCAAACAAACATTTGTGCTCTAATTATTTAAAAATTTAAAAATCACCATCTTCAGTCTGCAACCAGAAATTGAACTTGTAAATTAACTTTCCATTTGTTCACTTCGTCTGAGTGTACTGTCTCCTTATCTTACCAGTAGCACTACCATAATTGCAGTTTAAATAGTTGCTGCTTTGATCTCACAGCTGAATGAACTGCTGAACGGCAAATCTTCCACTATACCCGCATGGGCATTGGTTGCAGCGCAACTACACATCCCTTGATTTGACAAGGGGAGAATATTTCTTGCTGCTGTTGGTGAGGAGAAGAAAACAGGTCACCATGTGTTAATATTGCCATACCCATTCCTCACCCACTTTTTAGTAACTAAAAGGGTCACAAGTAAAATGCAGTGTCCACGCTGCTCTCTATGCGAATACAAAAGAAAGCATTGTTTACTGGAAGACTGAATTACATACAGCATTAACTAATGGAGGTTTACAACATATTCTATGTAATTTCACATCAGGTTGCATTGCAGGATAGGAATTCTTCTATACAGACAATTAATCAGCTCTCTTTAAATATGAATCTGGTGGTCAAAAATCAGCCCCTTTTCAACACATGTATGAACATCAATACAGTGTTCTGATTTGATGTCAAGGTATGCAACATAGAGAACTTACCACTAAGTAAAGGCCTGTTGAGTATATATATGCTTGGGAGATCTTCAATTTCACTGATTCTCTGGTAGACTGCTCGAGACAAGTGATCAGCATGGTACAAACTGCCCAGGATGATGCTGGCAAAATAGACAGGCTCTATAAAATGGCTCAATAGAGCTCCCTGAACCCCAAGTACATTCCACCTGAAAGTACAAAGACCATTATTTTGCTATAAAGTGATATTTAGGGGATTGTCATCAAGATAAGCCATAAAAATATATAATAATCAAATAGCTTTCTCCATCTACACTGCAGTATGCTACACCTGTGTGATAAAACACTCCTGAAATCATTAACAAATGCCACAAATGAAGACTATCATACAGTGACCTACTGCCAATTTCTACTGCCAACATCACTCAAACATTTTTGGCTCTAAATGTTTTCCTTATATGCTTCCTGCATTATATGTCTAGTTTTCAATTACACTTTGAAGCAGGTCCTAGGTCTGTATCACTACGCTGAGACATTTGCAAATTCAAATTAGACTAGTAAATTGCAGTTCATTACCACTAAACAGAAGTCTTCTGTTTTCAAAAACAAAATGACCAGACACTTTTAAAAGGCATAGTGACATGGCAAACAACAATTTAGCTACATAATCAACAACTCAGTTTCAGCTATTATAAGCCAGCATATACTGATAATATCTGACGACACAATTTTAAATGTTATAATTCATGACTTCATTATAGATACGAGTTTATTAAGAAACATCATTCAATTCAGGTCTCTAGACTGCTGTAAAATTACTGTTGTGCAATTAAAGATAAAACTTAAAATACAGTTCACCAAGAGATTTGTACTGTTTCTTTAAAGTGATATGTCCAGAAGAAATTCAACTAAACTAGACACTTTTCACCTGCCCAAAATTCCACAATAACAGAAGTTGCTTGACCCACAAAAATAACAATGACATGAATGGGAAGTGGAAACCTCATCACAGAATTTGGTCCCCTACATCAATTAGTAACTGATACATTTACTAACCACCTGATTTTTAATTCTACTTCTTACTTTTTGAATTTAAATCCACATCTCCATATGGGAGAATAAATTGGCTCCAGTCCATATTTCCATGGTTGTTTTCTATGATTATTTAGCTGTTCCAAAAAGATGCATTAGTTTCTTGGCTGGTCAAGGCTATTAAAACTCAAACTGTCTGCCAGCCTTCTGCGACTTAGACTTTTTACACTGAAAATAATTAACTGCAGTGGAAAATTGGCAATAAAATTCAATTAAAACACTGTTAGGAAGATCAGATCCGTAACAAAACAGTATAATACAATCACAAAGAATTCCTCTTAAGAATTTATCATAACAAACAGGCTATTTCACAGTTGGCACAGGGTGTTGCAGGCCATAAAATAAGGATCTATTTAGCTTTATAAACTGTTCCATACTAAAATTATTGGATAATTTTTCAATTTTATAACTGTGATAACTTTTGCCCATTTCAAATTAATTTCTACTTAATACACTTTTGTCTATTTTTAATATATGATTACACAGAATTACAAGTTCTATTTTTTTAAATTTTTGGGTTTTCCAAGGTTCACCAGTCATTTTGAAGGGGAGAGGAGAACAAATGCGGCATTTAGCTTCTCAAATCTGTTTCAGGTAGATCACAGTTGATCTGTGCTTCAGCTCCATTTACCTGCCTTTGTTTCATATTCCCGATAATGTCACCAAACTAAAATGTATAAAATTTAGTCTTGAAAATTGAACTGGTACAGCTTCCACAGCCTTCTGGGGAAGAATTCCATTTTTCTAGCACATTTTACTTGACTTTACTCCTAAAGGAGCCAACTTAATTTCAGAGTTAAATATTAAGATATTAAGTAGTGAAGCTAGGCACATGTACTCTGCTTCAGATCCTTGGCGCTGCAGATGCTTCACCCTGCAGCTGTTTTGTTGGCAATTTTTGTTAATGTTGTATTGTCATTACGTTCCACTGTCAGGGACACAGCAACAAGCCAAGTTCCAAGTCTACTTCAGCCAGAAAAAGAATTAAACGAGTGTTGTTGAGATTGTTCGTAACCATGCGCTAGTCAACAGACCAACTGAGCTAACTGATTTTTAACTGATTTACATCAGCATTGGCAGAATCCCAACCTTTTGATCAAAGGAAAATGGAATGTATTCTTGTCAACATTGTGAAAGTATATACTACATCGTTATCCTTTGGGAACTCAGATTCTGAATTTCAGCAAAAACGGTTTAAATCATACTTTATAAGATTTCTACAATTTATAAACACTGCCTCTAATTTAAGAATTCATCTGTTTAACTACTGCAATCCCTATATGAAATCTGAAATCAAATACCTGTGAAGAAATTTCAACAGAAGCATGAAAATCCCAATCTATACCCAACGAAACAAAGCATCAAGTCTATACTTTGCACCACGACTCAATGCTGAGTACAGTAGCTCTTGTTCCAGTGTGCAATGGGAAACTAGGACATAAATCATTAACTAAACAAAGACTTGCATAGACAGATGCACAGAGGAGCATCTTCCTGTCATGATAACAGGGAAAAAATAAATTGCAATTCTACACAACATAGCCCAAAGGCATAGGGCAGTTGCGTAGGCCTGTCTTTCAATCCATTAGGTTTTAAGTTGACTGTTTATCAAATAATTTCTTGATGCATCTAAAGTACATAACTGCACTGCAAATGCAGCCATAATAAGAAAATGTCAGCAGTATGAATAAACTGCTATTTTTTGTTTTACAAAGGTAAAGAAGCTTTCTTTAAAAAAAAAAGCAACATCAATGCCCATTTTTAGCTTCATAATTGAACAGAGAAAATAATTAATATTTTTCCTCTGAGGGAAATAAGCATTATACTGATTTAATTCTGCTGCCCTCAGTACAATTTTCATGGCAACCTATGTTTAATTTCTTTATACCATGACAGAAAATAAAATATACCAGTGCAAATTAAAATTCACAATTTCTTAAAATTAAAAATGGGAGAGTAATTCAGAAAGAGATAGCTAAATCTTGATGAACTGACAAACAAAGTTTGCAGCTGAATGCAAAATACAGTTTATGAGAGGTTTTAAAAACAACAGTACTCTTTTAAAAAAAATCTTCATCCTGAAACAATCAAGAATTTAGTTATTTGAGAAATTTGGCTTGCTGGTGCATTTCAACTTTCCAAATAGGGGTAAGGATACTGATTGGAAAACAGAGATGGACAAGTGTGTTTGTGTGTTTGTGTGTTTGAATTAAGGTCCTTACATGAGCCTATCCTTTTCAGACTTTTGTTTAATACAATGTTTAAAAATATAATCCTTTTATACTGCTAATGTGATATATTGAATCCGCTGTTCCCGACGTGGCCTCCTCTACATTGGGGAAACCGAGCGGAGGCTTGGAGACTGCTTTGTGGACCACCTACACTTGGTTCGTGACAAACGACAACACCTCCCAGTCGTGAACCACTTCAACTCCCCCTCCCACTCCTTGGAGAATACATCCATCCTGGGCCTCCTCCATTGCCACAACGATGCCACCCGAAGGCTGGAGGAACAGCACCTCATATTCCGCAGCCCAGTGGTCTCAATGTGGACTTTACAAGCTTCAAAATCTCCCTACCAGTGACCTCATCCCAAGACCAGCCCATCTTGTCCCTGCCTCCTTGACTTGTCCGTCTTTTCTCCCACCTATCTGCTCCTCCCACCTCACTGACCAACTCCCAAGCCCACTTCCTACCTACTAGCCTCATCCCCGCCTCCTTGACCTGTCCGTCTTCCCTCCCACCTCACTAACCAACCCCCATCCCAACTCCCTACCTACACTCACCTGTACTGGCATCATCCCCACCTCCTTGACCTGTCTGTCTTCTCTCCCATCTATCTGCTCCTCTATCCACCTTCTATCATCGCCTCCCCCCCTCTCTATTTATTTCAGAGCCCCCTTTCCCTCCCCATTTCTGAAGAAGGGTCCAGACCTGAAACATCAGCCTTCCTGCTCCTCTGATGCTACCTGGCCTGCTGTGTTCATCCAGCTCCACACCTTGTTATCTCAGACTCCAGCATCGGCAGTTCCTACTATCTTTCAATTCTTCAGTTTGTTGGTTTCATAAAAGTTCTCTATCAACCATATGGAGTGGCGCGGTGGCTCAGTGGTGCGCACTGCTGCCTCACAGTGCCAGGGACCTGGGTTTGCTTCCAGCCTCAGGTGACTGTCTATGTGGAGTTTGCACATTCCCCCCTTATCTGTGGAGTTTCCTCCAGGTGTTCCAGTTTCCTTCCACAGTCCAAGGATGTGCAGGTTGGGTAGATTGGCCATGTTAAATTGCCCCATAGTGTCCAGGGATGTGCAGGTTAGATAGATTAGCCATGGTAAACGGGGTTATGGAGCAATGTCTGGGTGGTATGCTTTTTGGAGGTCTGGTGCAGACTTGATGGGCCAAATGGACCCTACAGTTATTTTTTGTCTATTTAAGGATGAACATTAACATTCTCAAACCCTTATGATGCTGCTGATAAAAATACACAAGGCTGAGAAACATTTTACTTTAAGAGTGAAGTGAGGCAAACTCATCTGCTGCAGAATTGGAAGGAAAATTAGAAAAGGCATTTGCTCAAATGTATCTAACTAAGTGATGCTTGAAGCAATTACTAACTAGGTCTAAACAGGAGAATTTCAACACACAAATATAAGATGGAGTGCAGGCAGGGTCAACTGAAGCATTCAAAAGCGATTTAGACTGCCATTTGATAAAAAGGACAATGTGCAAGGTTATGCTAAAAAGGCAGGAAAATGGTACTGAGGGAAATATTTCATTTGGACAGCCAGTGCAAATCTGTTGGGTAAAATGGCCTCCTTCTGTACTGTAATAATTCTGTGATTCTGTTACTGACCTTGCTATTTTATCACTACATGACATTGTGAGCAATCGTTCGCCTTGCAACACTCCATCCCAGGTCTGAATAGTGCTGCTGGATCTAACTGGAATCGTCCCTTCGCCAGATTCTATTTTTGTCCTTAGTTGACCTCGTGCCTTCCGATTTGGGTGCTTGTCTCCCTGATCTAAAATTTCAGAAAAAGGAATAATAACTGCCTGCAAAATGTGTTAAACTTGAGTAAAAGTAGACCAGGTGAGAAAAGAACAGTCATAATTAAAAAAATCACACGCATGTTTTAAACATGTATTTATCACAATTTGTGTCAAGTATATTGAACAGTTTCAGTTTTATTAATTGAGACAATACAAATGCACTGCTAATTTTAACTAGGTACAAATAATAGAGCATCAGATGTGTTTGGTAGATGTTATAGTTAGAGAAGGTTATAGAATTAGGAATAAGCCATACAGCACCTTGAATCTTCAGTATCAAAGGTGATGTTCCACATCAATATCATTTTCCCACCTTTTCCCCATAATATCTGAATTCCCATAAACACAAAAAAAAACCTGACTGATCTCAGTCTTGAGCATACTCAATGACTGAATATCCTCTTTGGGTAGAAAATTTCAAATGTGAAAAATTCTCCAGAGCTCAGTGTGAATTAACTGACACCTGATCCTGAGATTATGCCCCAGTTCAAAACAGTCCAACTGTAGGAATAAGCATCTCAGTGCTTACCTTGTCAAGGAATTGAAGAATTCAATCTGAGATCACCTCTATTCTTCCAAACTATTCATTTAGATTTTACTGAATTTCTTATTATACAACACTTCCTTTAACTAAGGGAAGAAGAATAAACTTAACGCAAGGGAGAAGGCTAAGACTAAGACCAAGTTTGGCATGGGCACTCAGCCCAGTGTATTGCACGACCTGCAGTTCATGGGAAATCTTCGGACCATGCTAGCAGTCTGGATGATGACATCTGCAGGAAATGCCACTGGTCTTAGCAGCTTCAGCACTGGGATTTGAAACTTCAGCATCGACTGGAGGCACTGCAGTGTATCCCTGAGGGTGAGAATTAGTTGCACAGAATGTTTTTAGTTGTGCTTAGCATCCCGCAGCTTAAGAAATATGCAGTCAGAGAGGGAACGTGCAACAGCCAGAAGGAGGATGGCAGATAGTCAGGAAAACTCCAGGCTGCATCTCACTCAAGAACAGCTTTTGTGCTGGAAAATAATGGATGTGATCGATCCTCTGGGGAGTGCGACCAGACTCCAGCTGCGCAAGGTGGGAGTAGAACAAGAAGGGGAGGAATAGCAGGAGGAGATTCAACACTGAGCGGTACAGAAAAGCATTTCTGCAGATGCGCATGTTGAATTCAGGATGACTGCTGCCCCTAGCCAGAGTCAAGGGTGCCAATGAATGGCTGCACAGCATTTTGGAGGAGAGGGCAAACAGTCAGATATCATAGTTCAAATCAGGACTAATGACATCGACAGAAGGAGAAATTAAGTCCTTGTACAAGAATTAAGAGAGGTAGGTGGCAGATTAAAAGCAGAGCCTCAAAGTTGTAATCCCAGGATTACTCATGGTGCCATGTGCTGTGGGAATATGCTGAGAGAACAGGTAAATGCATGGCTGAAGAGGTGAAACAAGAAACATGGCATTACATTCCTGGATCACTGGGTCAGTTCCTGTGGACCTGTATAAGTCTGTCAGGTTGGACCTGAACCAGAAATGACCAACATCCTGGCAGGAGGGCTTGCTAGTGTAGTTGGTGAGGGTATAAAAATAGTAGTAAATAGGAATCCAGTCAGTCTTGAAGGCAGAAACAAAAATAGAAGTTGCTGGCAGCATCCATGAAGGGAAATGACAAGGTCCGGTGACCGTTTCTCAGAAATGGGCTCGGAGAAAAGATCATCGGGTGCGAAACGTTAACTTTGATTTCTCTTCACAGATGCTGCCAGATCTGCTGAGCTTTCCCAACAACTTTTTTTTTGTTTCTGATTGACAGCATCCGCAGCTCTTTTGGTTTTTATTCAGTCTAGAAGGCAGTGTCACTATAGTCAGGTTAAGGGATAAGGGAACCTGGCAAGGCTGGACGGCGTTTAATGCAAGAATGTGAGGAGGCTGCAGGGGCTCTGACATTAATTTTCAAATTCCCTCTGACCACAGGATGGGTGTCAGAGGACGAGAAGACAGCTAATCTAATTACCATTATTCAAGAAGATAGTAGGGCTAAATCTGGAAATTGCAGTCTAGTGAGTCTAACATCAATAACAGGGAAACTAGTGCACAAAATTCTAAGGGACACAATTAATCTTCATTTGGAAAGGCAAGAGTTAATCAAGGAACGTTAGCATGGCTTTGTAAGGGGGAAAACATAACTAATAAATTTGATTGAATGTTTTGAGGAGGTGACTAGGTGTGTAGATGAGGATCATGCAGTTGACGGAGTCTACATGAACTCTAGTAAGGCTTCTGACAAGGTCTTGCACGGCGTACTGGTTAAGGGACATAGAGAAATTTGGCAAATAAATCCAAATTTGATTTAGTGGAAGAAGCAGAGGGTGACGGTTAAAAGGTGGTTTTCTGAATGGAAGCTAGTGTCCTACAGTATACCACACTGTTTTGTGCTGGATCCATTACTGTGGACAACAAACCGCAATCATCTAAACATGAATATAGGAGATTTGATTACTAAGTTCACAGATGGCATGAAAATTGGTGGTATGGTAAATAGCGAACAAGAAATTCTCAGACTACTGGACGACAGACAGACTGGTCGGATACAGTGAACAGTGGCAAATGGAATTTAATTCTGAAAAGTGCAAAGTGTTGTGTTTTGGAGGACTAAAAGGGGGAGGGAGTACACTGTTAATGGTAGGATCCTGGGAAGTACGGAAGATCAGAGGAACTTGTTGCACATGTCCACAGATCCTTGAAAGCGGGTACAAAGGGTGGCATCCTTTCCTTTATTAATCAAGGCATTGAATACATGAGCAAGGAGGTTATGACAGTCTGTACATAATGCATGAAGACAAAAATAAAACCTAATTGCTTTATGTTTCTTCATTTTCTCATTTCCTATCACTATTCTTCCCATCTGTAATATGGATTTTGTTCCAACTTTACAAAATTTTCCACAACGTATTTATAATACATTAAAAATTTTACAACTACATGCATTTCCCGCATTAACTTGTTCCATTCAAAAATTCCATGTTTACAATTATAATGAAAACTCCTAAGTAAAGTGTAGTAGGGATAAACCTGGAAATTATATGCCAGTGTTGCAGCTCTACAGGACACGGGTTAGGCCACTTCTGGAATACTGTGTGCAATTCTGGTATCCTTGCTATATGAAGGATGTTGTGAAACTTAAAAGGGTTCAGAAAAGATTTACAAGGGTGTTGCCAGGGTTAGAGGGTTTAGCTATAGGTAAAGACTGAAAAGGCTGGGGCTATTTTCCCTGCATTATTGGAAGCTGAGGGGTAACCTTATAGAGGTTCATAAAATCACGAGGGACATGGACAGGGTTATCAGACAAGATCTTTTTCCAGGTTGGGAAGTCCAAAACTACAAGGCATACATTTAAGGTGAGAGGGGCAAGATTTAAAAGGGACCTAAGGGGCAACTTTGTGAAACAGAGGGTGGTGTGTGTATGGAATGAACTGCCAGAGGAAGTGGTGGAGGCTGGTACAATTACAACATTTAAAAGGCATTTGGATGGGTATATGAATAGGAAGGGTTTACAGGGATATGGACCAAATGCTGGCAAATGGGACTAGATGTATTTAGGATATCTGGTCGGCGAGGACGAGTTGGACTGAAGGGTCTGTTTCTGTGCCGTATATTTCTGTGACTGTGAGTCTACCATCAATGATACGCAAGTAATTGGAAAATATTCATACAGCAATTAAGACTTCTGGTAGTAATAGAAAACTGCACTTTCTCCCACCTTCTCAACATATATCGTGGAGAAACTCTTATGCTCCAATCAACACTACTTTTTAACTTTGTAAACTGCTGTAAATTTAACCACTTAACTACAACTCTAAGACCGAGCTATGTTAAGGAACTGTACTTAAATTATCTGCTACTCCCCAGCCACATTGAAGACTATGCGGCATAATGGGAAATAAATGACAGGAAAACCTCACTTTAGTCCCAGGTACATGACACTACAGTAGTTTAGTTTGCAGTGTAAGAGTCCCGTTACAATTGAACATCTGTGCTATGCCTTGGCAATCATTAACAAATTTATGCTCACTTAATAGTCACTCAAACTCATACCTGGGGAGTATATAATTCAGCACAGGAGTTTGAAGAAGACTATTCTAGCAAGAGTCATGCCGAATTTAAAATGTTAGCTCTATAAATATTGTGTCTCAATAATTAAACTGATCTTTATGCAAGATTATCAAAAGGTCCATTGCATTACTAATAATTAGTTGACAAAAGTCCTGAACTGAGACATTAACAATTTCTTCTTTCCCTCAATGCTGCTTGATACACTGAGAATTTCCAGTATTTTTTGTTCATGTTCCTGATACCAGATCCTTCCTGCCAGCCTTGAAGTGAAAAAGTCACTGCTCTAACACAGCGGTGAAGACTAAAATCCAAGATTTGTTAAGGGGATTATGCATCAATTACATGAGTTGGCAAGAGACTATTGCTGTGCCTGACATTACTCTTTATGACATTTCTATCAGAACAATCAGCAACCGACCCTTACCTTCTACTGCTGCCTCATGTGGTGAGAAGATGCGAGCGTCTCCACAAGGTGATGTACTGATGTAGAGGTGAAACTGCACATTCTCCTTAAGTTTGAAACCTCCTCCGTCACACTTAACAAAAATGGATTTCTGGTGGTCTTCTGTCTTGTTGCTTCAAGAAATAAATCGAAATATTCTTGATGCAATATTGACAACACCAGTCCATGCTAGATTATTGCATGTTTGAGTGTTTAAGAAATTCCACATAAAGTAAAACTTCAAAAAAAAGACTATCCAAACAAACAATTCATGGCCTGGTCAGTATCTTGGTGATCAATATATACAACATATACTGAATAAAAAAAGCTAGGTGGTTATGATGGAGCTATATAGGTTATTGGTTGGGCCACAGCTGGAGTTGTGTGTGCAGTTCTGGTCATCACAATACAGGAAAATGGGTTTGCACTGGAGAGAGTGCAGAGAAGGTTCGCTAGAATACTGCCCAAGCTGGAGCTTTTCAGCTATGACAACAGACCATATAACTTAGAGTTGTCTTCCTTGGAGCAGAGAAGGCCAAAGGGAAACCTGACAAAATTATGACGAGCATTGATAAGATCGAAAGGAGTAAACTTGTGTCAATGGTAAAAAGGTCAATTACTTGGGGGCATAGATATAAATTAAAAGGTAGGAAGTTCAGAGGGGACTTTAAGAGCGTTTTTTTTTGTCCAGACCATGGTGGGTATCCAGAACTCATTGTTTGAAAGGATTGCAGATGTAGGAATCATCCCAACATTTAAGGACTATTTAGATGAACACTTGATATGCTATAGTACAAGACTATGGACCGAGTGCTGGGAAATGGGATTAGAATAGTTAAGAGTTTGATGACCAGAGTGGATATGGTGTGCCAAAGAACCTTTCTCCTTGTTTTAATACTCTATGCCAAAATAAACACAAGTTAAATTGAGTTCTGCTCAGTCACAAAAGAAGAATTCCAGATATCATTCCTAAGTTGCCTGACTAGATGTATACCTAGAAACATGCCAATCTCGGATTTACTTCACTAAAGCACAATGGGCAGAAATTTCCTGTTCGTGGCAATCATCAGATTGTCATTCTGTATGTTGGTATTTTTCCTGTCGTGGAGCCCCACATTTTTGGCCGGTACGTCCAATTCAGGGGTCTTACTAAATGTAAAGCCGAGGCTCCTTTTTGGCGCACTGTAGGAAGTGGAGTGGAGGCTAAATCATATTTAATTCTTAAAGCAGAAACTGACAGATTCCAAGGTTTAAAGATCATAAAGGTACTTTGCCAAGCTACCAAGAGAAAGTGTGTAAAGTGTGTGGGCATGGGGGCACGGTAGCAGGTGCGTGATTAAGAGGGTAGGGTGACAGATGGGTAAGGTGCAGATGGCAGGTGAGTAGATACAGTGTTGGATGACAGTTAAGAACGAGGGGTGGCAGGTAGGTGGGTGAGATGTAGAATGATTATGGTTCAGGGAGAATGATAGGGGTCAGTTTAAATGATTAGGATGGTCAGTAGTGTTATTAGCTTCACAAGTTGTTCTGCTAATCCAAAGATCTGGGCCAATGCTTTTCAAATACATCTCTCACATATTTTCCAAGGACATCTAACAGATTAAGTGTAAAAGGGTTTGGCACTTCGGAAAATGATCAAACTCATAACAATGCTGGATAAAACAGAACCTTCATCATTGGAGAACTTGAAATAAAGGAAAAGTGTATCATCTTCTTTATGATCTTAAGGGACACATGTAGAAACATCATAGATAATGACCTTATAGCAGGCCAGAATAATTTAAATGCTATAAACAACCAGTAAAAACTTTTGTCAGCTCATCATTATTAATTATTTCATGACCTCTGCAAGTTTCACATCTTGGTATTTCTTGCCTCATAACTCTAAGAATCTCCATTATTCTTTCACAGCTAAATCCCCTGAAAATCAGACCTGAAGGCAAAATTCCCTCTAAGCCGTGCAGCTGCTCAGCCGCTGGCAAGCTCTGTACATGCCAATCGACATGCTGACCTATGTCTTCCATTTCTGGAAGGCACTGCCATGCACAGGCCTCAGAGGTTCATGCAGCAACAACAAAAGTTACAAGAAATGCTGCTTCAAGGCCACACTGTTGTAAGTAACTAGGGTTGATAACGCACAATAAAAACCAAAAGAATTGCAGATGCTGTAAATCAGAAACAAAAACAGAAGTCCAGCAACCTGAAACGTTAACTTTGATTTCTCTTCACAGATGCTGCCAGGCCTGCTGAGCTTTTCCAGCAACTTCTGCTTTTGTTTTGGTAACACACAAACTTCTATTAATCTAACTAGCCTACACTTACTACATTTTGTTGGGAAATAAATAAATCTGTTATTGGTGGATTCTGCACACTGAAGTTTCAGTCATGAGTTTGGTAAATAATACCAGAGCTTCATTCTATCTCCAACTCATTGGCATACACTATCATGTCAATACTCAGTCTGAATTTTAGTAGGAATGTGTAGTTTGCCAGTATTTGTCTTTTCCAAACATAAAGTTGATAATTTGCAGTCTTGAGCATCTCATAATGGTTTGAGATCTCCATAGGCCCAATCACTAATGTCTCTACACAGCATCTTGTTTATCTTGTCATTTTATTTTATCCTCAAGATAGGTGAATTACCAGTATCAAGTATCTGAAAGACTAGCTTATTGACGACTGACCGAAGCAAGTAGTTCTTTTTGGTTAACAGAGAAATATTAGACTAATTTTACGTTATCCCAGCTTGGATCACTGGGAAGTAAACCATACAAGCCAGGCTGGTAGTGCATTCCCATCTGTTTCTTTCTTGTTATGCAGGCTGGAAGGCAAGCTGGTGACATTTTTTTCTCATTAAAAGGTTTTCTTCACATATTTACTGTGCAAGATTACAAACACAGAACTTTAGCTCTGAACCAGTTTTAAAGTTAGAGTGAGTCTTCTACTAGCCCACTCGTTTTATGAAGATCAAAGAATTCTCCTGTTTTGTCGTCAACATTCTCCTCAAACATAAAAACATTTAACCTGTCATTTATCTAATTTATTATCACTGGATTTTTAGATGCAAATTGGTCCATCTAACAATGATGAAAATTCAAAAAGCTATTCACAGAATCCGACGTACTTTGGAAAATCCTCAGGGTATACACTTTTTTCTCACTAATCACTATAACATGCAATTATACAGATATGTTTGGAACTAAAAGAAACCTGAAATGTTTCACATGTAAATGAATAGGTATAGATGCAAATGTCTTGGTGAAAAGTGGGATTTAAGGAAGATATCAAGGGAGGAGGAGAAGTGGAAAGGATGACAGAATTAAAGATGGGATCCCAGGCTTTGGATACATCTACCAAAGGTTAATCAAAGCAGACAGAGTACTTGGGAGTTTGTAGTGTAGGAAAAAATTGCTAAGGTAAAGAGGACATGAAAGGTTTTAAACACAAACTTGAGAATTTTCAATTTGGGGAATTGGGAGCAATTACATGTGAGCAAGGACAGAGGTGATGGAAGAGAGACGTTATGTGGAACAGGATATATTCAGAATTTTGGAAGTCTGAGTGGGCCCTTTAAGCACTTCTGGTTGGTCTCCCATATTGTGTGCTTCGTAATCTAGTGGTCATCTACAGTTCTGTGCCCTAGTCTTCACTTGCAGCAAGTCCTGTTTCTCTATCACCTATATGCTCACTGACTCTTAATCAAGCAAAAGACTGATTTTAAAACCTAAATATCATTGTTTACAAATTCCTCACTGGTCTTGCCCCTCCTGGCTCATCACCCTACAAGATATCCACATTCCTTGAATTCTGGCCTCTTTTGCATCACCGATTTTAATTGTCCCACCATTGCAACTATTAAGAAAGTTTACAAGAGATGAATAAAAGATTATTTTCTTATATTCAGGGGCAATGATGAGACAATGACTTGAAGTATGGGGAGTCGTCCACACACAGTGGAGGAGGTTGAAGGTGGATGGGTAAACTAGCTATGTCAAAGACTACAGAGGCATTAATGCAGAAGAGTCTCAGCCACAGGTGACTTTTTTGGGCAGGGCTAAGAGGAGGAGGAAGAGGAGGAGGAGGAGGAGATCATTACAGCAATGTTGCAAATGCAAAGGATAATCCTGTCAAGGAATGGTAGCCACTGATAAAGAATTATTTACAAAATCAGCTAACGTAGGATTCAGAAATTGGTTGTCAGTAATTTGGGGCAAATGGGATTAAGGGAGAAGAATGTAGAGGATGTGACTAGCTCAGAGATGCATCACATAAGTAAATAGGAGAGAAAATGCCAGGAGATGGAGTTTCTGGGCTAAGATGTGATGTGGGCAATTTGTTGGACAAGAATGGGGGAAGTAACAGAGGAAGCAGAATAGGTGGGCTCCTCAATCTTTCTGTTAGAATTTAAGTATAAGGAAATTGAGAGAGGGTTTAAAATAACAGCTGGAAGTGGAGAGAATAAATCTTCTATAAACAGGATAGTTTCATTCAGGCTGTCGTCAGGAATCACAATATCTGATAAAATCTTTTAAAGAGCTACACTATAACATAATACTAGTACTATAAAATCTGGGACAGCTCAGTGACTCTTTACTTCCACTCACCTTAAATGGTACTCCATTTGGGAATAGAGAAACCGGATGAGGGATCTGCGTGCAACAATTTCAGCATGACAATCATTCAGAGCCAAGCCTCGGTCACTCATATACTCGCCATTGATGCATTTAGTTCCTGTGGCGACACATATCACCTGGGCATCTTTGACATCAGATCCTAGTTTCAGAAGTGATATGCAGATCAGTGAAGACAAATGTTCATAATCAGAAAGTCAGTGCACTGCGTCATTCAGAATAAATACAATTACAGCACAGAAGATGGACTGATCCATTGTGTTATTCCATGTTTTTTCCTTGAGCAATGGAAAACAAATCCCATTGCTTTTATTCCTCTTCAAATAATGCATAATTTATCTACTTCAAATATTTATTGATTATTTTCCTTGTAGAGGTACCACTTCTCTAATACTAGATGCATCAACTTTGATTAAACAAATTCTCTCTTCTAATTTCTGTCACACTCTAAGTGACAATTTTGTATCAATGAATTCTCATTATAGACCCTGAATCTAAGAAAGTAATCTTTTATTCATCTCTTGTAAACTTTCTTAATTGTCAAACACTGATCCCTGGGTAAATCACTTCCAACTCTTCTGCAATCTTGACAATAAACATGAAACAAACCTTTGCTTCCAGTTTACTAACCACCTTTTCATCCATGTTGCTCTATCGTCTCTTCTATCATAATCATGAGTTACTTCATTAAACATTTCTGAAAATCCTTTATATCTACTGCACTGTCTTTATCAATGCAGTCATGCCTCAGAATCAAATCTATTAGTTTGACCATCACAAGATGACTTTCAACAAATTTATGCTGATTGCCCTTGATTAAGCCATAAATTTCTAAACTCTTACTAATTTTATCACAAATTATCAACTACTGATACGAGATCCCTTCTTGAACAAATGTGTTACATTGTGCAAGGGACTTGAGAATGTTCAATGCATAAATGATTGAAAGATTCAAAAACTGTGATAAGCGCTTCTGTTCTCTCTTCTTCGGATTCCTTCAATATCAAATATGTTGCATCAAAGGGCAATAACATCAAGCATATTTTGACAATCTTCATTCTTTTTGTTTTGAGGTAAGCCAAGCAGAAAGGTCATTGAGATAATTATGTCCTTGCTTTTCTGTTAAGACTACAAACTTGGCTCTATCCTGTCTTCATCTTCATTGCGTACAAATTACAGAAATATTATAAATTAGAGTAAAATTAAACATACTGAATTGCCCCATAATTAAGTAAATGTCTAAAAAAGTCCAAAAATGCTGTCAAGGACAATTTCTCATCAGATGTTGGATAACTTCACTATGAATGGAAAATATTTATGTGCAGGACTCCGATTCATAATACCCAAACTACCTTCATTTATAAGCTTGTAATTCATGAGACAACTGTAAGTAACAATTGTTGAGATAGAAAGAAAACAGCAAAGTTAAAAATGAGTTGAAAGGACAGTTGGGAATATGATAACATCTGATTACTTAAATTCATAGAAGACAGAAACTCTGGTCACCTTATTGTTAAATTGTTAAAACTGTTAAAAGTCCGAGGCTCTGGTCATCTTGCCAACTATTAATTTAACAGCTAGAAAATGTACTTGCCATAATAAAGACAAACAGAAAAGAAAGTGAAACACCAAATTTATAACCAATTACAAAGCTTATGAAAATAAGCAGGCTATTTGAATATGTAAAAATAGATTATTCAATTAAAACTATGGCATTGTATTAAAGGTTGGTGCCAAGTCTGGCATGACTCCCTCCTGCGTACTGCACTATAATATTCAACTAAAGATGAGTCAAGAAAAAAGGACAAGTCAGACTATTGCTGTACCTGGTGGATTGAACTTCACCATATCACTCACAAGGACAATTAAAACTGACACTCAGGCCAGAATTCCCTTCATGCTTCTTTCCACTAACAAAGTAGTCCTCTTATTGCATCCTTCTGTGTATCATGAGACAATATTGCTATCTCAGCGTCATAGTAACGTCTCCAACTTCTAGCTATTTAGTAGCTAGCATAGTTTCATCACAGTACACTTCAGAAAGAAAAAAATTATTATTTAAGTTTGGGGGCTTGATTGATATTGTTTTGATAGTTTATAATAGACATTATTGTTATTCCAATTGATAATAACCTTGTTTGAGTATAATAATATAAAAAAAATCAGTGAATGTTTTAAAAACAATAAAAATTACAAGAGTAAATATAAGATAGTAGGTCAATGCAATATCAAAAAACTGCTAAAAACAGGTTTGACATTACAAAAGCAAAGATCATGTACTTACACAATGAGCATGAGGTTTATTACATTTACACAAAACAAAACTGAAAGTGTATGAATCTTTGGCTTTATAAGTTGAATTTAATCTTAAGCAGTGGTGCAAAATGGGTAGTATTGAGTTGGTTGTTCATTACATGCAGTGTCAAACATTTGTTTTTGCTGCAGTCAACAAAATTAACTATTAGGGATTTGCATAATGGATGGCATTCTTTACAGCCAATTTTGTGATCCTACTTGAGAAAATTTCTATGTGATATAGTACAAAAGCAAGGTGGTGATTTTAAACTTTGTTTAAAGCCAGTTTAAACCCTGTTTAAAGCCCAGCTGTATACAGTGGTTAACACTTTAGGATGCCAGGAGAGGCTGCAGAAAGGATTCATTAGAATGACATCAGGGATGACAGAATTCCACTACATGGAAAGGCTGTCAGTCGAGTCCAAGATTAAAAAAGATTTGGTAGGGGAGTTGAAGATCATGAAGCTTGTTGATTGAGTAGTTAAAAGGAAAAGGCCGAAATGGTTAGTAACCAGAAAACACAGAAAAGTTAATATGCAAAAGAACCAGCAGCAACATGTTTTGTTAGACAATGAGCAATGATGATCTGGCATATATTCCCTAAAAAGGTAGTTGGAGCTTTCAAAAACTTTCAAAACTTTCATTGAATAAATACTTAAAGGTTGATCACAATGCCGGTAAAGTGAAAAAGTGCAGGAGAATGGAACTATAATTGTGTAGTCTTTCAAAGGGACTTCTGCATTCACAATGACAGAAATTAATTATGCACTTTTCACACATGACTTTAATACATTACCACAAGTTTCATCATTTACTATTAATGCAATGTATGTTGTTATATAGATAAGTCTGTTGCACATATGATAAAGAGGTAACATTTTTCACATTCATTTACTTCAGTACTTTGTAACGACACAAAGGCATGCTGAATAAACAGTGTGACTGATGTATATTAGAAAAGAAAATTTATTCCACTTGCGAGGAAAACCTTTATAAAAAGTCACTGGTCACAGTTGCACAGAGTTATCCAGTCTTCTTCGTTCACAGGATAATGGTTTATTTCATGGTTCTCCATTTATAATCCTCCATATTGCACTTAAAACTTTTACAAATTATAAGTGGTTAGAAATGAGGCATTCTACAAGTAAATGTGTTTTTACAACTAAGACACAAATTAATGTATGTTTCCTTGTGAATAGAATACAGGAAAGGGGAAATACCAACTATAAAACTTAATTCATGAATAATTACTAGAACAAAATGTAAATATTTAGGTTTTCAGATAGTACACCTGATAGCGTGGGAAAAGGTTATTTCGGCCAACTGAATTTTTCCAGTGTTTATCTTCCATGTGAGCAATTTTTCATTTATTTCAGCTTGTAACATAATTTTCCTATCCCCTTGCTAGCTTTCCATTGAATTCATCTATCCTATTCATCTCAAGCATTTATTTAATATCATACACATTTTTATAAAAATGTCAAATAACTGAAGTATACTTATACAATTTCATTTATTACAGAAGAAACCCAACATGCAAAAAAGTGAAGAAATGAGACAAATTGCACTGTACCTGTTGTCATGACAACACCGGCAAGAACTTTCCGCCGTGCATTAGGGGAGGTGAAGTTGTCGGTTAGTTCACTGAATTTATCCACCACTAATCGAGCCACTGCATCTGCCAGTACCTAGTCGGAGGAACAAGGTCAGACATTCAGGTCAAATCCATAGTGTATATTGTTCCCAATCATCCTTTTTTTCTGGTCCAAACTAGCTTTTAATTTACTTAGCCCTGCATTTTGTTGACTAGAATCGCACAGAAAGGCTATAATTAAAAATAATACAATATTCCTAACCATATGATTAGTACAAGATTCCCTTAAGAAGACTGAACATTGCAATTACTTATACTGAGATACAGTTCTCACATCTCTATCCTCTGCTCGACTTGCCTGAATGAAAAATTCTAGAAGCCACATTTGATTTATACGTTGCACTTCATTATTTGGATGCAAAATATATGCAGATACAATTGACTTTTCACCTCTAGGACCTGTGTTCAAATCCAGCCTTGGCTGTTGCAGGAAAGCATTATTAGTCTGTTGATGGAGCCTCCAATGCAAAATAAATTTGGACACTAATTGGCACAAACCAACAGCACAACACAAACATTAAGATTGCCAATAAGGGTGAAGTAAACAGTGAGCCCATAGAATGGCTGCTGTGAGAAATGGAAAATTGTTCAGTCGGACATGTTCCTTTAAAACCGGGGCTGATGGACATTGCTGGGGTTAGGGTGGAAAGTGCTTAACTATGCATCTGATTGTGCTGTAACTGAACTGGGAGTGCTTGATGCCCGAATACTGATACCCGAAGTGGGAAGACCTCGATTTCCTACCTAACACTAGGATAAAGCAGATTTTTCAGCGCACCAAATTCCAAATACACCTTTTCAATGACAGCAGTAGATTTCAATGCTTTTTTTCTTTTATGTACTTAGAAAAGCTGTAGAAAACATTTTTTCCTCTAATTGCTGCCCAGCTTATTTTACTTTTACTCGGATTACTACTGAATGCAAAGAAACACCTTTTTTTTTCCACAACCCCAACAATAGCATCATTAAAATTCTCGCTCTGTCACCCCAATCAAGTCTGAAGAGTGCATAGACCTCTTTGTCACATAAGCTGAGACTATCCTTTCAGGTGTTTCTGACACATCCCCTTTTTCTTACCAAATCAAGTTTTCCAACATTTCTCCATGACCTAGATCCGAAAGTTCATTTCTAGTTTTCCTTCTATTTACATTAATGTGCTCTCCAAATTCTTCATCTCCTTGAAACCCTCCTTCAGCTTTTCCTCTTCCTACTATCCTTACAAATCACCACACTCTTCAACCCTCCCAGAAGTCCTTGAAACATGCTGTTGTCACTCAATTCTGTATCCATCTTCCAAATAACTTGGACTTCTGAAAACAAGTTTCTGCCCCTGCCACAGTTCCAATCAAAGTCACTTCTGTGACTGGAACATGATGCACTCTCTCCTTGTCCTTCTCGAGCTCCCTCCAGCCTTTCACATGGTTGACTACACTTATCTTCTGCAAGACATCTCCTTCAATGTACAGCTATTTGTGGCTGTCATTGCTTGGTCCTTCTCTCACCCAATCAAATTGTTTCTGGAGACTGCCTTGTATTTTTAGCCTTACACCTTTGAGATCCCCAAGGATCTATCCTGGAAGGTTCTCCTCATCCATATCATAGTCACACAGCACGGAAACAGACCCTTTGGTCAAACCAATCCACGCCGAACATAATCCCAAACTAACCTAGTCTCACCTGCCTGCTCCTGGCCCATATCCCTCTAAACCTTTCCTATTATATGCTTATCCAAATGTCTTTTAAGTGTTGTAATGTATCCACATCCACCACTTCATTAGGAAGTTCATTCCACGTGAATCACCCTCTGTGTAAACAATTTGGCTCTTATGTCTTTTTTAAATCTGCTCTCTCACCTTAAAAATGTGCCCCCTAATCTTGAAATTCCCTATTCTAGGGAAAAGACAACTACCATTAACTCTATCTACAACTCTCATTATTTTATAAACTTCTATCAAGTCGTCTCTCAACCTCCTATCCTCCAGTAAAAAAAAGTCCCAGCCTATCCAGCCTTTTTTTATAACTCAAACCTTCCATATCTGGCTACATTCTAGTAAATCTCTTCTGAACCCTCTCCAGCTTAATAACATCCTTCCTTTCACTGGGCAACCAGAACTGGACACAGTATTCCAGAGGAGGCCTCACCAATGTCCGATACAACTTCAACACAACTTTCCAACTCCTATACTCAAAGGACTGAGCAATGAAGGCAAGCATGCCAAATACCTTTTTAACCACCCTATATGTGATGCAAACTTCAAAGAATTATGTATCTGCACCCCTAGGTCCCTCGGTTCTACAACACTACCCAAGGCCCTACCATTAATTGTATAAGCTCTACCCTCGTTTGCTTTACCAAACTGTAATATCTCACATTAATCCAGATTGAACTCCATCTGCCATTTTTCAGCCCATTGACAAATTTGATCAAGATCCCTCTTTAATCTTAGAAAACCTTCTTCACTGTCTACTATGCCACCAATTTTGGTGTCATCTTCAAACTTACTAACCACCCGTTCTGTACTCTCATCCAAGCCATTTATATAAATGACAAACAAAACAGGACTCAGAACCGATCCTTGTGGTACACTGCTAGTCGGAGGCCTCCAATCTGAAAAATAACCTACAACCATTACTCTCTGCATCCTGCCAGTAAGCCAATGGGCAAGCTCACCCTGAATCCCAGGTGACCTAACTTTACTAATTAGTCTACCATGCAGAAACTTGTCAAAGACTTTACTAAATTTCAAATAAACATCTACTGCTCTGCCATCGTCAGTTATTTTGGTAACTTTCTCAAAAAAACTCAATCAAGTTTGTGAGAAACGCTTTTCCTCGCATAAAACCATGCTGACTATCCCTAACCAATTTTTGCCTCTCTAAATGTCCGTAAATCCTACCTTTTACAATCATCTCCAACAATTTACCCACAACTGAAGTCAGACTCACAGGTCTATAGTTCCCTGGCTTCTCCTCACAACTTTCTTAAACAAAGATACAACATCAGCCACCCTCCAGTCATCAGGCACCTCACACGTAGTTATAGATGATGCAAATATTTCTGCAAGGGGTCTCGTAATTTCCTCCCTCACTTCCCACAACTTTCTGGGATACATTAGATTAGGTCCCAGAGATTTATCCACCTTTATGTTCTCCAAGACTTCTCGAACATCCTCTTCTGCAATGTGAACTGTTTATAAAAACATCAAAGTTTATTTCTCTGCATTTGCTAGACTCCATTTCTTTCTCTGCAGTAAAAACTAAAGCAAAATATTAATTTACTATGTCTCCCATCTCCTGGGGTTCAACAGAAAGACAGCCTCCTTGATCTTTAAGAGGCCCTAGCCTCTCTCTAGTTACCCTCTTGCTTTTATTGTATTTGTAGAATCTCTCTGGATTATCTTTAACCTGATCTGCCAATGCTATTTCATTTCCCCTCTGTGCCTTCCTGATTTCTCTCTTAGGAATGCCCCTACACTCTTTATATTGATTAAGAGATTCAATTGAATCAAGTTGTCTATATCTAAAATAAGATTCTCTTTTATTCTTGACTAGAACCGCAATATCTTTATTCATTCATTGTTCCTTAATCTTACCAGCCTTACCCCTCACTCTAACAGGAACAAAATGGCTCTGAACTCTCATTATCACACTCTTGAACACCTCCCACTTGTCAAGAAGTTCTTTTGCCTGTTAACAGTCTACTCTAATCAGCTTCTGAAAATTTTTGTCTCATACCATTAAAATTTGCCTTACCCCAATTAAAAACTTTAACTTTTATGGAAGGCTTATCCTTTTCCATACCCATTTTGAAACTAACAGAATTATGATCGCTAGACCCAAAGTGTTTCCCCACTTTTACTTCAGTCACCTGCCCGGCCTTATTACCCAAAAGGTCTAGTTTTGCTCCTTCTCTAGAAGGAGAAGCCACATACCAATACAGAAAATTTTCTTGAACACATTTGACAAATTCTTCACCATCCAAACCTTTAACATTATGGTAGCCCCAGTCAATTTTTGGAAAATTAAAATCCGCATTATTACAACCTTATTATTCTTACATATATTGGAGATCTCCTTAGATATTTGTTTCTCAATTTCCCTGTTATTATTTGGGGGGGGCGGGGGGGGAGATGATGGCTACAGAACAATCCCATCAAAGTGATCTTTCCTTTTTGGTGATTTCTACCCATATATTTTCACTGGACAATCTTTCAGAAATATCTTCCCTAGTTACAGTGGTAATGAATTCCTTAATCAAAAATACTAACTCGCCCTCCTTTCTATCCTTCCGGTAGCATCTAAAATCCAGAACACTGAGCTGCCAGTCTTGTCTATCTCTCGGCTAAGTTTCTGTATTAGCTATGATGTCCCAATCCCATATTCTTAAACGTGCCAAGGTCATCAGTCTTCCATATAAGACCCCTTGCCTTAAAATAAACGTAGTTTAGTTCTTCAGTTAGTACATACTCTAACTCTCTCGTCTTTCTTTTCTAATTAACGTGCTCTTCTCACATTTAGAACCTTCCTCATCAATCCTTCTGTTTACACTGCTACTTAGAATTCCTCCACTCTCCCTCTCTGTCAGTATAAAGTCTCCCTTAATGGAATGAGCAAATCTCCCTGCTAACATATTGGTCCCTTTCCAGTTTAGGCTAGACCCATCCGTTCTGGACAGGTCTTTTCTATCTCAAAAGACATTCCAATTGTCCAAAAATCTGAAACTGTGAACAATACACCAGCTCTTTAGCCACTGATTTATGTCCTTTAACCTTTTCTTCCTTCCCTCGGTTGAGTTTGGCATTGGGAGTAAAACAGAAATTACTACTTTCAAGGTTCTATTTTTTTAATCTTCTACCTAAACTCTTAAATTCACTCCGTACTGCTTTAATCTTTTCTCTAAAAATGTCACTCTGACCAATGTGTACAATAATTTCTGGTTTCTCAATCGCAGCTTTAACAATATGCTTGAAATGTTTAGAGATGTCCTTAATCCTAGCACCAGGAAAGCAACAAACCATCCTAAATTTACGCTCA